TGCTGCTGCCTGCCGTCCAGGGGAGCAGACGCCGCCACACGAGCACATCTGCCTGAGCGATGAGCTGCCGCCCCAGAGCAGCCCTGCCCCTACCAAGGACCGGGGCACCTCCACCGACAGCCCTTGCCGCCGCAGCGCCGCCACGCAGATGGCGCCTCCAGGCGGACCCCCTGCCGCCCCACCCGGTGGCCGGGGCCACTCGCATCGAGACCGCATCCACTACCAGGCAGACGTGCGTCTGGAGGCCACGGAGGAGATCTACCTGACACCGGTGCAGAGGCCCCCAGACCCTGCCGAGCCCACCTCCGCCTTCCTGCCACCCGCTGAGAGCCGCATGTCGGTCAGCTCTGATCCAGACCCGGCCGCCTACCCCTCCACAGCAGGGCGGCCTCACCCCTCCATCAGCGAGGAAGACGAGGGCTTCGACTGCCTGTCGTCCCCAGAGCGGGCCGAGCCCCCAGGTGGAGGATGGCGGGGGAGCCTGGGGGAGCCGCCGCCACCCCCACGGGCCTCGCTGAGCTCGGACACCAGCGCCCTGTCCTATGACTCGGTCAAGTACACACTGGTGGTGGACGAGCACGCGCAGCTGGAGCTGGTGAGCTTGCGGCCGTGCTTCGGAGACTACAGCGAAGAGAGTGACTCGGCCACTGTCTACGACAACTGTGCCTCCGCCTCCTCGCCCTATGAGTCGGCCATTGGTGAGGAATATGAGGAGGCGCCCCGGCCCCGGCCACCTGCCTGCCTGTCCGAGGACTCCACCCCTGACGAACCCGATGTCCACTTCTCCAAGAAGTTCCTGAACGTCTTCATGAGTGGCCGCTCTCGCTCCTCCAGTGAGTCAGCAAGGGACCATGTGGGGGGCACGTGGGTGGGGAAAGCCAGAACGAGGGGTGCTCCTGGAAGGTGGCCTGGGGGCCCCACCAGGCCCAAGACACTAGGACTGAGCTATCCACCTGCCCCTGTGCCCGGGCCAGAGCTGGGCCGCCCTCCTCCAGCCCCATCCGTCCCCTGCAGGCGCGGAGTCCTTTGGGCTGTTCTCCTGTGTCATCAACGGGGAGGAGCAGGAGCAGACCCACCGGGCCATATTCAGGTGAGCCTGCGGGCTAGCTGGGCCTGGCCTTCCCTGCCTCTGCCCTCTCAGGGGGCCTGAAATTCACCCGCCACTGGCACTCCTGTGCCCACTGAGCCCGGGGGGACAGCACAGGGCCCAGTGAGCAGTGGCAGAGTGCGTGATCCAGAGCCACGGGCTGAGGGAGCCCAGGCCCTGTCACTTCCTCTGGCCTGGGGCAGTGTGCTCAGGAGGGCGCTAGCACAGAGCCCTCACCCCACCCCGCAGCTTTATGGAGGCTCTGCTCCCTCGAGTTCCTCAGTGACGTCTCCTGCAGCCTCCCCGGAGCTCGCATGGTGGCGGGCACACGGATGCTTTTGCAAACGTTATTGAACTCACGTTGCTGCTGTAACCTCTCAGCCCTGAGCCGGGCAGGCCCTGGTGAGGAAGTCCTCATGCGTCCTTATTGGGGACAGGTTTGTGCCTCGACACGAAGATGAACTCGAGCTGGAGGTGGACGACCCTCTGCTGGTGGAGCTGCAGGCCGAGGACTACTGGTACGAGGCGTACAACATGCGTACTGGTGCCCGCGGCGTCTTTCCTGCCTACTACGCCATCGAGGTCACCAAGGAGCCCGAGCACATGGCAGGTAGCGTCTTCCCCGCCTGCTGGCACCAGCCCCCACGGCAGCCTGCCCTGACCCTTGGCTGCGTACGTGGGTGCCGCAGCTCTAGGCCAGCCAGGATGGGCGCCAGGCAGAGGTGGCTCCAGGTCGTTCGCACAATGGAGCCGAGTGAGGCCTAGCTGGGTGGGACATCTGGAGGGTGGCCCCCTCTGCTGGCTCTGTCACCCCATAGGCCTTGTCCTCTCACCTGTGCCCAGCTGCCCAGCCACACCTCACCTCTGCTTGCTCTCCAGCCCTGGCCAAAAACAGCGACTGGGTGGACCAGTTCTGGGTGAAGTTCCTGGGCTCGGTGCAGGTCCCCTATCACAAGGGCAACGATGTCCTCTGTGCCGCTATGCAAAAGGTACCACTCGCTGCTGCCCGCGGGGGCCACCCAGCCCCCGGTCCCTGTCCTCTCCTGGGCAGAGAGACAGGGTGTCTAGAGGTAGTGATGGCCCTGGGGCAGGGAAGACTCAGAGAATGGACAACTCTGACAATCCGTCCACCCCTGCAGATCGCCACCACCCGCCGCCTCACCGTGCACTTTAACCCGCCCTCCAGCTGCGTCCTAGAAATCAGCGTGCGGGGCGTGAAGATCGGTGTCAAGGCCGACGACTCCCAGGAAGCCAAGGTGACTCTCCCCAACCTGGGCCCTTCTTCCCACAACCCCCCAGCCCTCCCAGGGAGAGATGTTCACCCCTGCCAGTCTGGGCCCTGTGGGCTGCGTGACCACCTCTCGCTTCTTTCCTCCTGTAGGGGAATAAATGTAGCCACTTTTTCCAGTTAAAAAACATCTCTTTCTGTGGGTACCATCCAAAGAATAACAAGTGAGTGGGGCCAGGGGTCGTGATATTAGGCGGTCGGCTGGAGCCGTTGTGGGTGGGATGGGGTCTGAGACCCTGGCCCACCACAGACAGCCTTGTCCTGCCATAGGTACTTTGGGTTCATCACCAAGCACCCCGCTGACCACCGGTTTGCCTGCCACGTCTTTGTGTCCGAAGATTCCACCAAAGCCCTGGCAGAATCCGTGGGGTGAGTATGTGTGCATCTCCTGCCAGTGACCAACCCATCACAGGCCTTAGGGCCGCGTCCCTGTGCTCAGCCGTAGCCCTCAGTCTTTCTTTGCCATGGTCCCGAGGCGGGAGTGCCGACTGGTCTTCAGGAGGGAGATCTACGTGGTCCCGAAGTGGGAGGGCCGAGTGGCCCTGGGCTGGGTCCCAAGCTCGTCAGCACAGACCCGTCTGCAGCCGGCCCCTTACTCAGGAAAGCCAGATTGCGGAGAACAGAGTGGCTCTGGCCAGGGGAACCAGAGCCCCTGCCCTGGGACTCCTGGGTCAGACCTGTTCCTCCCCAGGCTGCTGACTGCCAGTCACCTGTGTGTCCCCTGCCCCCAGGAGAGCGTTCCAGCAGTTCTACAAGCAGTTCGTGGAGTACACGTGCCCCACAGAGGACATCTACCTGGAGTAGCAGCGCTGCCGGCCCTCTGCACCCCCGGGCCCAGGCCAGGCCGCCACGGCTACGGCTTGCGCGCCACAAAG